TCATGATTTTCAACTTTCAGAAAAGAATTCTGTCATCAGGAAATCTAAACACCAAGTAGACAACCAGTAGAAGAAACCAGATTGGTCCTCAGTGATTCAAAGTGAGAGCTATTTTGAGTGTTGGTAATTGCTTTGGTTTAGACATGAAATAAAGAGTTGGAGGCAGGGCAGTGGTGAAGGTGAGGCCCACAGGAAGAGTTTGGAGCATGCTAACACTGGGACTGCAGCCCCTTCTGTACTTCCCAGCTACAAAGGGGTGAACAGACCTCTCCCTCCCCATGTCCTAGCATGATCTAATGTGCCACCACAGGCCCAGGGCAAGAGAGACAGTAGCATGGACCAAAAGCTCTGAAACTGTGAGTCAGTCACAAACCTTTCCTCTCTTTTAAATAAAGTCACCCCAGGAATTTTGTCACAGTACTGGAAAGCTGACCAACACAGTGATGCTGGTCTAACTTCTGAGTGAGTTTGAAATTTGATGTACGATTTTACTTTTAAAATCTTAAACCAGGACTAGAGAGATGGCTCAGCTGTTAAAGGCTAGGCTCACAACCAAAAATATAAAATCTTAACCCAGCTTGTTTTAAGTGAGTCTGCTTGAACACTTCCATCTACACAGTTTAGAATGCTATACACATCTTAAGATACTCAGCTATCTCAAAGGCAAAGTCCGTCACTGTCTCATCTCATTCCGGTTGGTCATTCAGACACAGAAGTGCAGTCACATCTTCTGCACTAGGTACAGAACAATTCTCTAGATAATTCTTTCAGTGATGCCTTAAAGATTACTTTTCATTATTTTTAATGTGTGTGTGTGGGGGGGGGGTGGCAGATGCCCATGAGTTCTGGTACCCAAAAAGTCACAGGCATCAGCCCCCTGCAGTGGGAATTACAGGCAGCAGTGACGGTACTGGGAATTGAACTCTAGTACTCTGCAAGAGCAATGTGTGCTTGTGACTGACAAACCATCTCACCAGCCTTTCACCAATGCTTTCATTCTCCCTCATTATAAAACTGGAATAAAACCATTTTGTCCATTATGGGCAGTTATCAACTGCAGCAAAAGAAACAATGTAAAAACATGAGCTGAAGAGCTAAAGGGACAGCTCAGTGGTAGAGCACTTGGCTAGCACTCAAGGTGAAAAGATTGCCAAATTGAAAGTAATTTAAAAATAACACGCAGTTTAAAGTTCCACCCTTTAGTTTTGGATTTTCAATTTCTGTAGAGTAGCATTTTATCACTACCTAGAAAATAACCAAAACTAATTTTTGTGTCCTGGGGGAATGTTAAGACTTTTATTGTACTCAAATGCTCGAGGGAATGGGGGGGTATGTAAATATGAGTAATTAAAACTAATAAAAAAATGAAAAGAAAAAAAGTAATCAAAGAAAATGAGCTAAATTTCTAGGAGCTGAGGATTTTTATATTTTCCTGAGTTCTACCAAGCTGCCATTTTGTTATGGTACACAGGTCCTAAAAAAAACATACTATGGCCTTCCTTCATTCCTACTCCAAATGTCTCTTTTTCAACTACAGTTGCAAGAAAACACTCCAGCTACTAATGTATTCAATGGTTACTATGAGCCAAGTCCTCGAACTACTAGTGCATTTAATCCTTTCATTCAATGAAACAAACCCCAACAGTAGACTTGACCTTGGCTTACAAATGAAGAAACTAAGAGACCCATATTAAACTAACCAAGACAAGTCTAGTAAGCAGGTTCCATTATCAAGTAGGGGCTTATGTGGATATTATCATACCACACTGCATCTCAACACATTCCTACTCAGTAAGAATAGTTTACACACATTATTTCCCTCAACTTTCTCAAGCTAGGTGGGTCTCCATGTTACCAGGACACTCACAAGTTACAAAGGATGTACTCAAAGGGCTACATGTGTAACTGCAAAATGTCAGGATTGGGACACTGACTTTGAACCTCATGTTGTTTTTAGCTAGTACAATTACTATTCCCCAAACCTACCATTTCATTTGATATTTATTCCTATACTTTGAATTTGCATAGAATTGGAATATTCTCTAGCTATGGTCTATTGAAATATCTTTGGTCTTCAACACTTTAATATCAATTTATGATATTTTTGGTATCCTTTATTTTCTCATATGAAACTCTTAATAAGAAAAGGAACCTGAGTATTCTATATCAATACTACCCATTTCCAGAATGCTCTGCCAAAATGAAAACTTCAATATAAAAATCTCAATCCAAGTAGGGTAGTACATGCTCATCATCACCCAGCACCCAGCAGTAAAAAAATTGCACTTCAAATGACAGTCTAACCCAAGATTCCAAGTTGGATTAATTTATTATTAAGAAATTATTAATGTATTAAGAAACACTTTTGTATCATTGTTACTGCTAAAATCATTGTTTATATGATGAAACTGTTACATTAAATAGAACACTGATTACTGTACCAGATTTCTCTCAAGGTCATTATGAACAATGAAATATTCTCAACAAATCACTCCTATAATGGCTTATTGTTCATTTGCAGTGCTAGGAATTGAACCCAGAGCCTTGTACCTGACAAACAAGCACCTACCATACACGATAATCCTAACTCCTACAAATGCACTCTAAATCTATGTGCTTCTTACTCGTTCTTAAGTCACCATCCATCCACCCACAGGCCAGTCATCAATTCCTCTATATATCCTAACACTTTACAGCAAGGATTTACCTCATTTTATGATTATTAATGAATCTATCAGACCAAAACATAACATTTATAATCCACTTTAGTATAACTTTGGGTATCTGAGTCTTTAAGTAAAGATATTTTAAAACTTTTATTCTACAGTAGTTGAGTTTAGAATGTTTAACCCAATTAATAGTTTATATTAAACCAACTCATTTCAAAAATAGTCAACTATTTTAGAAATATATTTTAGGTGCTAGAGATATAGTTCATTGATAGGATGCTTGCTTCACACACATAGGGCCCAGGGTTTGATCCCTGACACTTCAAAGACAAAAACACTTTTGGAAAAAGGTACCTTAACTGAAAAATCAAAAACCTAAACACAAAAGCAATACCTAAACTCTGAGATTTAGAGATTCATTAGCTTATGTGATGAACGGCTCTAACAGGTGAAAAGAGACTTTGAATTTACCAATATGTAAATTTTTAATTGAAATGGCTTATATAAATACAATTTATGCAATGCCCATTTTTTTCTGTCCTCTAAATATGGACTTGCTGTCTCAGTTCTTAGCTACAAAACAAGGGTCGAGAGATAGTTAACACAAACTCCTTTTTTTTTGTTTTGAGACAGGGTCTCTCTATATACCCCTGGCTGTCCTGGAACTCACTCTGCAAACCAGGCTGGCCTTGAATTCAGAGATCTACCTGTGTCTGCCTCCTAAGAGCTGGAATTAAATCTCTATGTGCCACCATCCCTGGCACAAACTACTTTATAAAGCAAGAACAGAGAAGGGAAAGCATTGAAAATCTAAACTGATTTAGAATCGAGGAAAATAAGCTTTATTATCCCATCATGGACTTAGGGATTTGGGAGAGGATCCTGAATAATTCAATATAAGGGGGAAAATATCTCCCAGAAAACAACCTTCTGTGAAAAGCTCACTAGAGAAAATCCAAACTATTATAAAACTAAATAGCCCAACTGATAAAAGTCCTTTTTACACATCTAGTTAAGAGCTGCAGCAGAAATGGAAATACATATAAACTCAAAGTCAAGACTGCTCTCCTAATGCCTCAAGTCACTTATTGATAATTATTACCCACAGCTCTATAAATATGAACATTCTAGGTGACCATCACTAGTGCAGGCACATTTGACACGACAGTTCCACATGGAGCTACTTCATTTTGTAACAAGAATCAAGGTTCTAAAAATTCAGTCTTGTCACTGAAAAAAAAAAAAATTAAAAGCTCAAAACCAAAATGAATCCTGCTATCAAAGTGCACTTCCTTTGGTGACTTCTGAGCAAACAGCTGTTGGCTTCAAGCATAGGAAATATGCAGATTTGCTAATATGTGATTACTGGAAATAAGTCTCTTCCTGGAGATAAGAATTAAAGTTCTCTCCTCCTTGTAATTTCATTTTGTTTTTATTACAGCAGAAACAGCGCCCATTAACTGTTGTGAAATGGCTTTGCCACTTTCCCCTTCATTTTCTGGGATCTTAATTCCTAGCTGCAGTACCATACCATTTCTTCCTATGATCAGAGTTAGAAAGCTCTGGAAATACTGTTCAGCTGATAAACAAAAAAATGAAAGCTCAGAACACATATCAAAAGGTATCTTACATATCCATTCCACAGCTCATCAGGTGGTTATAAAGCTCTCATCCCTCCCAAAATTCTACAAAAATATATGAAAAAAAATGCTTCCAGCCAGCAAATAGTAATAAAACAAGTATCTTTTAACTAGATTATTTGAGAGACTATGTATTACAATCTCTGATTGAATCCACTTCTCCAAAAATCCATTCATGTATTCAAGCATATGTATTTAGTCAACTTATTCATATTTACTATATTAGAGAGTCATTTTTAGGTTCAAGTGACAGTTCTTCTAACAATGAACTATTTCTACAATAGCTCTAAGGCCCCCAAAAAGGTTGTTTTAAACCTGTGTAGACAGATGCATAGCTATTTCTAAAGATTATACACCCAAACATGCTTGTCCAAAAAATTAATCCATGCACTTGAATATACCACAAATGTTTTTATTAATGCCAGACCAACTAAATTAAACACTGTCTAGAATTAAAGAGGTATCATTAAAAACTGATTCCAGAAAAATGCTCAAAAATCATCTTGCCAAAACCTCAAAAAAGAAAATGCTTCCTTATCCCAGTGTGCTCAATTTAACTGTGTGTGTTTGTGTGTACACACAATAAATAATCTACCGTAACATTTCCATTCATTAGCATTTTGTGTTTACAAAGCCTTGTTTGCAGTTTCTTGGCAAAGGCTTCCCCCAAAAAGATACAAGCACAAAACACTAGGCATACACTCTTCAAAGTTTTATTTCACTAACTTCAGGTCAAATATTTCCACAAAATTGCTTTCTGCTCAATGACTATCCTTTTTTGGCTTCCCAAAATGGTAGTACCAAAAGATCTGTGGGTCAGGGAGAAGAGACCACTTCAAGCCACTTCAAGAAGCATTGCAGTTACTCATCTTCCCCAAGGCAACAGAGTTGGGCATCAGACTGTTCAACAAAACAAAGCTTTAATAGCATCCAGGAGGGCAGGCAGGCAAACCAGGCTGTAGACACTCTTCAACTCATCAAATCAGCCCGGGGAAAACTATTCCACACCGATATAAAAAAGGCATTGATTGCCACTCATCTCTTCTTTTTCTGTTGCCGCAACATTTTTCTTCTTTTAATTATCATATCATGTAGTTTCTCAAGTCCTTCCTTTAGTCCATCTCCTATGATTGCACAGGTGGGCTGCAAATGCCAAGGAGTTGATGAGCTCAGTTCACCCATGGCTAACAATTTCTCAATTTCTGAAAGAGACAGTGAGTTCCTCAGGTCTTGCTTGTTAGCGACTATAAGCACAGGGACCCCTTGATTTTCTGATATCCTAGTTATTTTATGAAGTTCAGTTTTGGCTTCTTCCATTCTCTCGACATCGACAGAGTCCACCACAAACACAATGCCATCTGTGCATCGGGTATATGACTTCCACAGTGGCCTTAATTTCTCTTGACCACCTACATCCCAGAAGTGAAAAGTGACTGTTTTGGAATTGCCCAAGGTTACCTTAATTTTCTCCGTGTTAAATCCTTTGGTAGGCACCGTATTTACAAATTCATTGAACTGCAGCCTGTATAGAACTGTTGTCTTCCCAGCGCAGTCCAGACCCAGAATCACGACATGAAGGGACTGAAAGGACGGCAGACTGGACAGGATGGAAGTCTGGTCTGACAGTCCATTCCCCATTTCCAGCTGCAAACGGTGTCCCGAACCGAACGCGTTCTTCTAGTCTGCTTACAGTCTCTCTTCCAGGGGGATCGAGCTACCAGACTGCTGCGGAGGAAACGACTATGTTATTACTGTGAACACATTAAAATGGGTTCTCTCTACTTTCTCTAAAAAATAAAGCACCGAGAGGGGACTTAATAAAACTTGCTGTAAGTAAGCACACCAGATGAGATGAGAAATGTACGAAATCCAAAACAAACGATCAACAATTATCACCAAAAGGCTCTGTTCCATTCTTCTCTCCGCTTTGGAGTAGCGTGTACTTCTCTCTAGTCTCCACGGTCCCCGAACCTCAGAAGCTCCTCTGAAGACAACGCAGTCACCAGTATCTATCTGGTGCCCGTCACCGTATCCACCCAAAGGGCCTTTTCTTGGCAGAAAACTAGAAACTAGGCAATCCTATCCGGGAGATCTAAGCCGGCGAAACACGCCGCGTACCCGGGATCACTTTCCAGGCCCCCTCCCCGAGGCAAGCCAGAGCTCTCACCTCCGGGGCTGAAGTCCGGATCCCCACGGGGACACATTGGCCGGCTGGCCGGCGTCTCCCCCCCCGGGGGCGGCGCCGCCGCAGCCCCCCCCGGCCGCCGCGT